AGGTGCTCCTTGAGCTTGGTTGTGTTTCCTTTGTAAGAATCTTTTTCTACTTAGTGGAGTGCCTGGTCAGTTGATGACTCCCAGTTTTTCCCAATAGTGGGTTTCTTGGTGAACAAAATCTGTTTTGCATATCTGTAATTTTTCTGGGTTTGTGTTCTTGGTGGTTGACTAGTCATCTTTATCTGCTATTTGATGTTTACATGATAATGATGATTTCACACACTTTCACCATAGTTGTTGCTAGCATAGGGGATGCCTAGATTGACGGGTCCTTCTGAGTGCCTAGGTTGTCACTAGTAATCTTCTAGGGTTGTAGGTACTTTGTGGCATGCTCTGTATGTTCTCTTGATTGTGGGTATTCATGACTAGCAGTTGACTAGTCATATGTGTATTTGGTCAAGGTTTAAAGTGTGTGAAGATTGCTGTGTTGTTGTGTCTTGTTTGTGTGATTAAATTTACCCCTCGTCACCTAAGTACCAATTTCAAATATCATAATTCTTGGAGGCTTTGTCATACAAGACCCTCCCTTTATACTATTTAACTTCAAAAATATTTCACTTCCGGGATAATGTGTAAGTGACATTTGTTTCAAGAAATGATATAGAGCTTATAGTTAATAAGGGAATTATGTAATGCTTATATTTCTTTAGCAAATAATAGATCCAATAATATGAAATTTGTGGATGCATAATAAAGACTTTTTATTTACCAAACAATTGAAACACATCATATTTTTCATATTGCTACTGCTGGAGCACCTAAAATAGGAAAGGATAAATTTATTCATTTATGCTATTCCACATTACAATCCTACTTTGATCTCTATTTTCTTTCTTATTCGTATATATAAGAATATCAACTTTTAGGATATCCATGAAAACTAGAACACGAAAAAGAAAAAAAAAATTCATTGAAGACTTAGTACAATACACGTATGTAGTATGTACATATTTTTCGTATTTAATACACGTGTTTTTTTTTTACAAAATTTTCAATAATACATACAAAATTCAAGTATTATACACACAAAATTATATTAAAATACATATGGTGGCTGAATTTTTCAATTCCAGAATATAGCCGCATGGCTATACTCTGTTGAAAAATTTAAAAATAAAAAATAAAAATCTTCCAAATAGGTGTTATTAGGCGGTTCCTATTTTTTATTTATTTAATTTTAAAAAATAAATAGTATAGCCACGGCTATACCAAGGTCATTTAAAAAAAAATAAAAAAATAAATAGTATAGCAGCACAGCTATACCCCTTAATTTCTATTTATGGAGTATAGCTGAGCGGCTAGACTTGTAATGTGAGAAACTGTAAATATATATATAATAATTATTCGTACTACATATTAATTATTTATTAATATGAATTTTTCTTAGTTAAATATTTTTTGTGAAGGCTTATATATTATTAAATAGATTATCCCTTTAGTTGAAAGATGACACCATTCTTGTTTTTCACGTGTAGAGACTTAGAATTGGTTTTAATCAAATCATCATTGCCATGCCACCTTGCATGCTAGTAACAGGTGGTGTTGTGATATCATTGGGCTGACTCACATTATTTTCTTATATTTCTATCTTATCTTTTGGTGGTGCTGTTGTGATAACATTGGCCTAAGAAGGATGAGTCATATTATTCCCTTACTTCTATCTTATCATTTGGTGGTTTAAAATATTGTATATAAAAATATTATTTGGATGCATCCAGAGCCTCTCCTATAAATATCATGCTTCCTTACTTCAATCATTCATTCCAATCATTTAAGGTAGATTTCTACCATGAAGTAGTGTGTGTGTGTGTGTGTGAGAGAGAGAGAGAGAGAGAGAGAAGAGAGAGAGAAACAAGATGAAGAGTGTGTGTGTTTGTCTTGCAATATTTCATACTTATTATGGTGAGTGAGTTATGTAATATGTTCTAAAAGTTCTTATTTTGTGATAAATGTGAAAATCTATTGACAAACTTCTCTCTATTTTCAAATCAAGCATGTCTAATTTGTGAAATATTTCACACAATATATATTATTTGGAGTTTTTGTGAAGTATGTATTATTCATGGAACATGAGAACTTCAGTGATGGGGTATCCGAAGGATAAATGTACTAGACGGGGACATAGGACAGTGAGGCCGATAGGGGTCACGTATTGTGTACAATTTGTGAAGGATAACCAAGATATGAAGTAATAATGTGATATAGTTTGGATTGTGTATCTTTTTATTATATTTTTCTAGATAGTGTAAAATAACATTGCTTGACTGACATATTACATAATCTACTCACCGAGCGGTGGTTTGCTCATCCCTCTCATATTTTGTTTTTCCGATCAAGTTGGATTAGTTTAGAGTGATAAACTTTTATTTATATATTGTACACTTGTAAGATTATTATAATTTTATTTATAAATATAATGGTAAAAAGAATTCAAGGGAACGGATCATGCTTGGAAGGAAGCAATTGGAATTTAACAAAATAAAGAAGGAAAATAAAAAGATATGCAGCAGAATATTTTGTTGATAGCCGACCATGAGTCACATAATTTGAAGAAGAACAAAAAGGGAAGTGCTTAAATGATTTAAAAAAAAGAAAAAAAAAAGGATACACTTGTATGGCCAGCTCTTAATGTTTTGTAAATGCGTTTCTGACAAATGTCAATAATCTGCCACAGTGATTACAGTCAGCAGCTGAAATTACAAACTACATACATAATGAGATAGATAACAGATTATATATGAACTGCAAAAACTGCAAGATGGGTAATAAGAAGTGACCTTAATTTCACCGCCATCATCCGTAGCAGCAAGAAAAGAAGATTTAGAGTTGCATGCAATCTACATAGACAAACATACATGCAGATAAGCTCCAGAAAATGGGTAGCTAAGTTTAAGTTAATTAAGCAATCAAAACCAAGTCTACCTGAATACTGATACCTGATTTATCTCCTCTTTATTATAATCATAACTCTCCAATGGCTTCCACGAGCAAGAACTCCCCTTCAAGCTGGGCAAAAAAAAAAAAAAAAAAAAAAAAAAAAAAAAAAAAAGGGCCACACTTTGCATGCTTGCATGGCTTAGGGAGCATTGAAACTAAAGGATACCAAAGGTGCTAAAAGCCCAACCCTTTTTCCCAAAGCCACCGAAGCATCAAGGCCCCCGCCCCTTGCGGCCCAGACCCGGCTTCCTCACCAAATGCCCAGGTACCCAGCTACCAACAATACTAACGGCTAACACAACTTTTCTTATACACTCTAAATGGTGACGCAACTTCTAGCTTGCAAACTTGGGGGACTAGGGAATGCCCTACGGCTCCCATCGAACCTGGAATGCTCAGTCACGATTACACAAAAACTCACAAGTTCCCAATCCAGAAGTCACTTCTTAACTGCGAACTTGGGGGACTACTGTTTACACCATAATCAACCGAGCTCTTTAAAGTTACAACTAAAAAGAAAAATCCAATTCAAAGTAAATTACAGTTACAAACTAAAAGGAAAATGCAATGCACCAATGTTACAAACTCAAGTATTGGTGGTGAGTGGATTTGAAGAACCCCGTTGTGTTGTTTGAGCACCAATGTTATTTACAAATAAAACAACATAGTTCAGTACATTTTATTATAAGAAGATCAAATAAAACAACATAGTTCAGTACATTTTATTATAAGAAGAAGCATAAATAACATTAGCATAAATAAACTAATTACTTACAAGTTGTCATATGTTACATTTCCTTATAGAATTCAACATCATCATCCGTGCAGCTATACTTTGCGGTTTGCGGTAACCGCAAGTTTTGAAAATCAAATACCACAACCGCAACCGCAAATGCGGTTTGGTTCTTAATACCGCAAATGCGGTTCGGTTTGCTGCGATTGCGGTTTCATTACAGTAAATTATCGGTTGGTTTTTGCGGTTTTTCAGTTTTTCGGTTTAAAATGCCACCCCTAAGTATAGCCGTGTGGATATACTTTTAAAATATTTAGAGTGTATTGTATTTAACAGGTATAGTCGGGCGGCTATATCGTTATAATTTCTATTTATGGCGTATAGCAAGGTGGCTAAACTTGTAAAATTTCTGTTTTATATAGCCGCCCGGCTATACGTTTAAAATTTTTATTTATACAATACAGCGGCAATACTGTTAATATATTGTATTGAGGGAGTATAGTGGCTATAATCTTATAATTTCTATTTATGGGGTATAGCTGCGAGACTCTACTTGAAAATTTTCTATTTATAGCGTATAGCCGGTCGGCTATACTCTAAATTTCTATTTATACAGTATAGCCGGTTGGCTATACAGTTATAATTTCTATTTACGGAGTACAGCTGCCCGGCTTTAAGGGAATTTTTTTTATTTAGAGTATAGCAGCGCAGAATTTCTGTTGTAATGTTCTGATGATTGACATACAACATATATCCCTATGAAACAAACTAAAAAAAGTGAACAGGTTCCATCTTTCTAAAATCTCACCGCAGAATTTCTGTTGCAATGTTCTGATGAACGCTTATCAATCAAATTAACTTGCAAGTCTAGTGGTTTGCTTAAAGAAGTATCATCAGAAGCAACAAAAAGTGAATTACGGCACTCATGTCCCTGTACAGGATCTGTTCTTGATTGCCGCTTTCGCTTATACGTTAGCAACACTTTGCTTCCCGACATTTAAGCTTTCAAAAAGAAATCTTGCTGCAATTCCAAACACTTGGACCGCATTTTTCACGTGAAATTTGTTTTTGTTCCACTATGTTCAGTCTCATTTCAACACAGAAAAACCTGCATATGTTAAGGAAGAATATCCAATTAACTAAACAGCAAGTCATGACTCATATAGTTAATACAGTTACGAGTAGCAACACTCTGAAATAGTGACTGAAAAGTACTTGTGTCAAAGTGCACTGAACATGTGTCAAAGTGTTAAAAAGCCCTTGCTCGAGTATCAAGCTAAAATAATTTTGATAGATACGATTTGTCTGATGGTCTGATCTTATCCCTTCAGAGGTTATAGGAATTTTTCATAGGAAGAACCTACAAACCGCATCAGGGGATTCTCAAAAAAACTTCAAAATTTATCTCATTATTAACTTAACCACCATAAATGTCATTTACCCTTAAAAACCCCACCTAAACTTCCCCTTATATCAAAAATTCAGCTTCTCTTGAAATACAGGAACTCCATAAAACAGTCAAGTTACATGATGGGCAAAAGATTAATCCATGCACGGTAAAATCTTGGATATCCAAGAGGATCAAATCTATCAAAAGCTTCCTGTCATCAACTCTTACAGCAAAGGATTTCTACGCAGATTCTGTGATTGTTATTATAGATCATAGCAAGAGAAAATCAATAGCCCAAGTTTCAGTTGTCCTATCGGAGTGGCTATTAATGTCATCTATGAGAACTCATGCAGTTTTAGAGCTGGTAAGGAGGGCATCTGTTAAAACTGATTTGGAGACTCTAATATTTCTGACTGATATCATAAATTCTCAATTCTTTTAGTAGCTAGTTTTACAGGGCAAAGTGTTAGACACACATAAGAGCAACACAACCATGTAGCGGGAATGAAAATATTAATATGGATGGTAGGAGTGACTTCAAAAGGACAATTAAAAATCAATACAATAGAAAAACACTGGGAGTGAACCCTGTTAGTGATAAGTCAACAGAAGTTAATGTGATAGGAACATGTACAACATAGACATTACGATTGGCCTTTTTATTTTCTGCCTGCAGTGTAGGCAAAATCAAATAGATCTCTGGATAATGATCCACTGTCAATCACTCTTGGTCTTCACCTCTTAAGTTCCAAGATTTTCTTCTCACTTGGTAGTTGGAATTTAGATCGCTATTTTCTGTTCACAAATGCTATGACTGTCCCCCGCAGTGCATTTCCATTATCTGTGCTATGTCCACATACTCAAAATAAGAAGTCAACTTCAGAGTTGAGACTTTTATAATGATGCTTCGTCTTAGACTCCGCGGAAATTTTATACAGAGCTCACATGCCACAAGTAAGGAGTAAAATGCACTCATCAAACCTAGATAATTATTTATGCATTTCGTAGCTCCTCTATACCAACTGTACCAACTTCATGAACTTCAATTCCTTGTGGTCCCACACTCCCCTTGTGAAGTATTTCCGATGAAACCTTTCCTTGAGGCTTATCATTATCATATGTACTCATAAAAACTGCCTGGTGTCCCATCCAGCCTAAAATACTGTGGCACTAGATTAGCTAGACTCTATATGACCTTATAAAGCCTTTCAAGAACTTCAGGTGTTGAGCCATAACACGAAAACCTAAAGTCATTATGCTACTTCCCTTACCTACATGAAAAATCACGTAATGCTCTCCTAAACTGCAATCTCAAAATCCAACATTAGGCTCTCAATATAATCTTAACAAAATTCAAGAGCACATTTTCTACTGATTTACGACAATTGACACAGGTGCCCTCATACAACAATTGTCAAGAGCATGTTTAAAAAAATTAAAACCCCTACATTATCTAGCGTTTCAATCAAAATTCAAAATTGAAAAATTGAAAAAGCTATGAACTATTGAATACTAAAATTTACAATGAATGAACAGAGGCAACAGACCTTGACGACAAGGGGAGAGAGAGAATGCGTTTGGATGCTGGAGAGCGAGAACTGAAAAGTCGGCCTAGGCAGGCGGCCAGGCGGGCCCGTGGCCGCCCGGCGGTCGGCACGCGGGCGGCTGGGGGCCAG